GTTTGATGTAGTCCCATTTGTTTATTTTTTCTATTGTTTCTCTTGCCCGGTCAGATGTGGTGTTTGAAAAGATGTTGCTAAGACTGATGTCGAAGAGCGTACTGCCTATGTTTTCTTCTAGAACTTTCACAGTTTCAGGTCTTACATTCAAGTCTTTTGGATTTGGTTTTTGAATAATAGTTCAAGTGAATTAACTATGGTAAGAAGATCTAGTAAGGTTCTTAAACATCTATAATGAATTTATTCATTCTTTCTAAGGGTTTATTGGCTTCCAAGTAACGCCCAGCATTGCATCTGCAGCCAGAGAGGGTAAATTTACCAAAAATTATTGAATGGTACACTCACAATGGGTGAATTTCATGTTATGTTAATTATACTTCAATAGAGCTATTGAAGAAGGAGGAGGAGGAGAGGAAGGAGAAGAGTAGAGAGAGAAAGGTGAATCAAATTACCCAACTGTCGCAGTGGGAATTCCAAAAGGAAGAGGGCAGGATAGAATAGAGTTGCTTTTCCCAAATTTTAATCATTCGTTGGTAAATTTCCAATATTTGCCTTATCATTTAATATCCATATTTTTATTAATTGAATAGTTCTCTATTTTGGGGTATTATTTTTAAAAACTATAACAACCTTATTCTAATAGTTCTTTTTAAACCAGCTTGTCTTTTTTTTAAAACCTAAATTGATTAATTTAAACAGGAAAAAGAAAAAGAGACGCCCTTGTGCTATAGGAGCTAACAACGTAGTTTGAGGAGATAATATATGTAAATATGCATCCAGATAAATTGTATACCAAATCAAATTTTATATAATTAAATGCTATAGTTAATAAGCAGAAGACAAGCATTATATAACTGAGAGAAAAGTGAGATTACTGTGGGCTAAATTTGTGAAGAGGGTAAATCATAGAGATATTGGGAATTGAACTGGACGTTGCAGAATGGGTAAACTTGGAAAGATGGAGGAAACAAATTTTATCAAATATCTGTCACTTATTGTGCCCCTATCATATGCTATGCTAAACACATTATTGGCAATTTACACACAAGTAGTACATATTATCTTATTTAAATGTCATAGTAATCATGTAAAAGATGTACTATCATAGTTTACATATGAGGAAGTAGGGGCTCAGAGAGGTTAACGGACACACTCGTGGTCACACAATTTGTAAGCGATATAGCCATATTTCAAATCCATGTCTGTTTGACGACAAAGCCAATGTTTCTTCTGGAAGGAAGAACAGTCTAGGTAGAAGGAAACAGTATGAGTGAGGCCATGAAGTCATGTGTATGACATGTGAGAGCCTCTCCTGCTGGGAATAGAAAGTTCTTGAAAAATAACTCATCACCTATCTTCACAGAATTATGATCTGCTATGATGGTATGTCTTTCCACAGAAAGAAGAGGAATATTTACTATTAGGAGAGGAGGGAGACCTGGATCCCAGGGATTTCTACTCCAAGCCAACTGGATGATTTAAAACTGGTTGTCTTTAGTGCCGCTGTGTTCTTTAATACGACTGCATCATTCTTTCTCTCCATGATGGAGCTGTTCCTCAATATAATGACTATACTAGTCTACTACAATCATTTTAATATTTCATATACTCAACAGGAAGATGTGGTTCAACGAGAAGATGTCCCATCCCCTAAACACACACACACACACACACACACACACACAGAGTCATTCGAGGGCGTAAAAAATGATCAGAGCATCTTCTTCCATTTCTTTGCAGTGAAAACGTGTATAAATTATAATGTGAGCAAATAGAATTTGATTCTGCTTTAAGAGTCAACAATAGTGTCAGTCTAGCTCGCATTGTCCAATCTCAGAGGTGACATGTAGAAACGAAAATATCTGGGTTTAACATTCAGATATTTTACAGGATTTCTAAATAATATTTTTTGCATTTAATTTTGAGTTTAAATTAATACATGCACCTTGTCATGTACCTCTTGGTCATTGTATGTCTTTTTTGGAAAAATGTCTATTCAGGTCTTCTGTCCTTTTTTAAATTAGATTTTTTTTTTCTATTGGGTTGTATGAGTTCTTAATATATTTTGGATATTAACCCCTTAACAGATATGTGATTTGCAAATGCTTTCTCCCATTTCATGGATTACCTTTTCTTTTCGTTGATGGTTTCCATTGCTGTACAGAAGCTTTTTAGTTTGTTGTATTTTCGCTTGTTTATTTTTGCTTTTGTTGCCTTTGCTTTCGGTGTCAAATCTAAAACATGATTGCCAAGACTGAAGTCAAAGAGCTTACCCCCTATATTTTCTCCTAAGAATTTTATGGTTTCAGGTCTTACATTCAAATCTTTAATCCATTTTGAATTGATTTTTGTGTATAGTTTAAGATAGGGGTCCAGGTTCATTCTTTTGCATGTGGCTGTCCAGTTTTCTCAACACCATTTATTGAAAAGACTATCCTTTCTCCGTTGTATATTCTTGGCTCCTTTGTTGTAAATTAATTGACTATGTGCGCGTGGCCTTATTTCTGGGCTCTCTATTCTGTTCCGTTTATCTGTGTCTCTTTTTATGCTAAGAGAATAGACCGTTAGTATTGTCACTATAAAAAAGAAATGGTAATTATATGATGTGATGGAGGTGTTAGCTAATGCTGTGGTGGTAATTATTTTGCAGTATTTAAGTGCATATAATCATCATGTTGTACACCTTAAACTTACACAATGTTATATGTCAATCATATCTCCATAAATCTGGAAAAGAAATTAAACAGTGCCTTGCACATAGTAAGAAAAAGAAATTAAAATTAAATAAATAAATAAAATGATACATGCTTTATTATTAAATTTAGAAAATATGA